AGAGGGGAGGAGAGGGGAGGGGAGGGGAGGGGAGGAGAGGAGAGGGGAGGGGAACTTCAGGAAAGCCTAGACCCTAGAGGCACAGACAGGGCAGCTGCTGGGGCAGAAAGAAAGCATCGAAGGCCGGAATGAGGACGAACGCCTAAGAACTGAGGCGCTGCCCTTCTTAGCTCGCTGGCTTGCCCAAGCTGGGCTCGAACTTCCCGATTCTCCTGCCTCAGCCTCCCGAGTGCTGAAATGGCACTAGGTTTGAGAAGTTTTCTTCTGTTGTAGTTAAGGGGTTCCCCCAGAGTTCAAGAAGCTAGAAAAACAAAGCTCAAGTGCCCAGCGAGCTCCAGCCAGGGCTCCGCTTATGGGGACATCAGGAAGATCCGTTCTGCAGGTCAGCTCTGGACAACGGGTCCGAATACCCCGAAACCCAGAGGCCGCGAAACGCGACTCCCGGCAGAGTCGAGGACAAGACAGTCACTCACGGTCTTTGTGGACAGCGGCTTGGGGAAGAGCGCGGGACAGCCGCTTCCACCCCAAACAAGTCGCCAACGCCGAGATTGGGCGGGAAAGCCACGGCCGCCTGAAATTACTCCACCCCATTGGTTAAACCTGCTGTCCTTCCCATTGTCCCACCTCCGGGGCTCACGGGCGTTGTTTTCATTGGCTCTTTTACGCTCCTATTGGTCAGTTCTCCTGTTCGTCAGCCTCGGCGCGTGGAAAGAAACGCAGAGCGCGTCAGTGTTGGGGCTGGAAACCCCGCCTCCATGTGCCGTGTGCAAAAACAAACAGCCGTTAGAGAGGAGGTGCCTGGAGGCGGAGTTTTAGCTAGAAGCAGGCGTACGATTGGTCAACTGTAGTGGTTCAAATGAGCAAAGTGAGCAGCCATTGGTTGCGGCAGCGCGAGGCGGGCCCGGGGTATTGTCCGACTCCCGCGGCGGCTGTCTGTGCTGCGAGAGCGGCTGCAGCAGTGCGGGGTGGCAGCGGGCGGTGAGGCGGCCGAGCGGAGGCAGAGTCGGCCGAGACTATGGTGAGAGAGGGCGGGCAAGCGGGGACGCTGGGCGGAAGCGGCGCCGCTACCTGTGGCGTCGGAGTTGGCAGGCGGCGGAGCCGCATCGGGCTGAGCCCTCGCCGCGCTCCCGGGGGTCAAGTCGGGAAGAGCGGACTTGAACTCGGGCCCGGACCGGGACCCGCGGGAGACGCCGCGCTGCCGGCCTGGAGGGCGGCCGGGCGCGGCGGGCGCTGGTGTGTCGCGGGCAGCGGTTACGTAACGGCCCGGCGGGGTCCGGCGGGGGTCTGGGCAGCCGGAGTGGGACCGCTGCCCGCCTCCCCTCGCTGCGGCGGGCTGTTGTTTTTATCCTCTTGCAGCGTCCGTTTTCATTCGGAAATGGAGCTCGGGTTAAGGAAAGTGAGACTTAGGAAGAAATGAAAGTGCAAATGAAAGTGCATTCAAACTTCAGCCCCACTCTGAAGTCGAGCTCGCGGAGAATCGGTTCTCCCGGGTGCGCGTGCTTTGTGTCGCGGGCGCGTGCAGAGCGCGACCCTGCGGGGTCTTCGGGTCCCCAGGGCCCCGTGGGCTGCGCCCCGGCTGGGACGGGCGCCCCGGGCGGCTGTCATCGCTCGCACCGCGGGGCTGCGCCATGCGCTGTACCCGCCTCGGGACGGCCCTGACAGGAGGACGTGGGCTTTGGATATTAAAATCTTCAAGTTTAGAGTTGAACTAATGACACTTTGGGCTTCAATAGGCATCACACCTAACTGTAAGGATATAAAAGTTAGTTACTGTAAAATTCTCTTTTTTGGGGGGGTGGTACCAGGAGTCGAAGTCGAACACACGATCTCCCTGGCGTTTATTGTAAAATTCTCAAGCTTAGAGCCAGAATAGACTTGTTAGGCAATTGCATCCACAGTTTGCAATTTGGCTTATTATTATAAACTGCTTTATAATAAAGCACTTTGACAAACAGGCACAGGTTACGTCTACTGTGTTAATTAATTAGCTCATTCTGATTATTTCCAGCATCCTTGCTAGTGTTTTTCAATCTTGAGCGTTATGGTATGTTGGATATTTGTCAGCAGTAAAGGATATATATGCATTAATGAAAAGTAAGCTACAAAACTGTCTTTCTGGATTTTAAACAGGAGCAGTAAAAATGAGTCTATTGAGTAAACATAAAAGTTATGTACCTCCAGGGCCAGGGAAATAGCTCAGTAGAATAAGCGTCTGCATGGCAAGCGTAAGGTCCTGAGTTCAATCCCTGGTACTGGAAAAAAAAAAAAAAATTATGTATCTCAGTATTTAGTTTCTAAGTTTTTCTGAGTAAAATATATTTCAGCCTGTGCCCTCCTCTTTTTATATATAAAAATGTTTGTAACCAAGAGGCTTAATGAAGTTAATAAGTTTTAGAACTAAACCTTTCATGTTGTTTACATTTGAGTCAACTGTACTTTAGTGAATTTATAAAACTGGGAGGATATATACACTTTGAAGGGATTTTAAGACATGAGTATTTATATATTTGTTTTACATGTTACATTCCATCAAATTTGAATCCATAAAGGTTTACCTTTTGGTTTTGTCTCTTGAGACAGGGTCTTGCTAGGTAGTGCAGATTGGCCTTGAACTGTCTGTAGCTTATGCTGGCCTTGAACTTGAATTTACAATCCTGCCTCAGCCTCTCAGGTGCCAGGCTTACACACCCTCCTTACCTTTTTTTTTTTTAAACAGTGAAGAAATAATAAATTCAATGGCAAAATCAAATGATATAAAACAGAAAATAGTTGCTAGGCATGGGAAGAAATTGCATTCAACCTTCAGCCCTGCTCTGAAGCTGAGCTCATGAAGAATCGGTGTTCCAGGGTCTGAGTGCTTTGTGTCACAGGCATGTGCAGAGCGTGACACTGTGAGGTTCTTGGGGTCCCCATGCCCCTCTTCCAGCACTTGGAAGGCTGAGGCAGGAGGTTCACTGAGTTCATTCAAGGCCAACCTAAACTGAAATGCATACTGAGGACTTCGAGACCTGGTTCATGAACATGATGATTGGGTGTTCATGCCTCATGCATAAGATGAGCCTCCCTCAAACCTTGGTTTTTTCTTGTTTTTTGTTTTTGGTTTCACTTTTTTGGTGGAACTGGGGATTGAACTCAGGCCCCTGTGCTTGCTAGGCAAGCGATTATTCCACCGAGTTGTCTCCCTGGCCCCCTTTTTTCTTTTTTCTTTTATTATTTTTTTGTTTTGTGTTGCTTTTGGCGGAACCGGGGATTGAACTCAGACCCTTGTGCTTGCCGGGGAAGCACTTATTCTACTGAGGCATCTCCCTGACCCCAAAATGGCAGAAGGGTTTTGTTTGTTTGTTTTTTGGCTGGCTCAGAATGCGTTCAGGGCATGTTTGGCTGGCTGGAGTTGTGGGGATCGAACCACAGCAACCTGAGGCTGACTGCTTTGTTGAAGCAGCTACTTAAAGAACTGAGCTAAGGGGCAGGCCCCTTGTTTTTGTTTTTTGCAAACCTTGTTTTAAAAAAAGAACTTTGAAAATTTAAGAATTACATAAATACTATTTTGAACTGATATAAAATAAGTACTTGTTAAACAATCTTACTTGACACTAATAGGAAAAGGGTTATAGAAATCCAGTGGGAGTATTAAACAGTTATTTCAACAAATGAAGTACATTGCTGTGCAGATATACAACACCCTATAAATCCTGTTTCTGTGTGAAAAAGAAAAGTGCAAATGCAGTGAAGTTTCTTTTGTTTGTGCAAAAATGGAGTGAAATCTGGGTGTGTTGCTGCATACCTGTAATCCCAGCACTCTGAAAAGCTGAGGCAGGAGGAATGCAGATTCGAGCCCAGCCCGAGCAACTTAGTGACCTATCTCAGAGAAGGCAATGCTAGCATAGTGTAAAGACCCAGAATTCTGTCCCAAACAGCACAAAGATCAAATCAAAAGCAAAGAAAGCTAGTACACATATATTTTTAGGTGATACAAATCGAAAAAGATACTTTCCTATACATAGGGAATATTAACTTTTGGGGCCTGGAAGACGGCTCAGTAGAATAAGCGCTTGCCTGGTAAATGCAAGGGGCTGAGTTCAGTCCTCAGTTCTGCACAAAAAATAAACAAGTAATAACTTTGAGTAAAACTTGTCTTTTTCTTTTTTCTTTTCTTTCTTTTTTTTTTTTTTTTTTCCAGAACTGGGGATTGAACTCAGGCCCTTGTGTTTACCAGGGAAGTGCTTATTCCACTGAGCCATCTCCCCGGCTTTTTTTTTTTTTAATTTTTAAAAGACAAGGTCTGGGGCTGGTGAGATGGCTCAGTGGTCTAAGGCGCCTACTCAGAACAAGCTAAGTCAAGCAAAGTATTGGGACCGCGGTTCAATCCCCCAGCACCACATGCCAGCCAACCCCGCCCCCTGGTGGGCTGAGCAAGCCACACACACACACAGAAAAAAAATAATAATAATAAATAAATAAATAAATATTTTTTAAAAAGACAAGGTCTCACTGTGTAGTTGAGGCTGGCCTTGGTAACCCAGGCTATCCTGAACTTACTGCAGTCTTCCTGCCTCAGCCTCCTGAGTGCTGGAATCACAGGCATGTGTCACCATACTCAGCTAACATTCTTGATTCTTATTCTTCCAAAAGAGCTAAGTTCTGGGGCAAGGAAGATGGCTCAGTAGAATAAGCGCTTGCCTGGCAAGTGCAAGGGCCTGAGTTCAATTCGTGGTACCGCAAGAAAAAAGGGGGGTGGTGGGCTAAGTTCTGAATGTTTTGGTAGATTAGTTCTGATGAGTTGTTTTTGTTTGGTATCAGGAATTGAACTCAGGACCTTGTACTTCCCAGGCAGGCACTTGTGCCGCTGAGCTATACCCCTGACCCATGATGATATATATTTGGGGGGGGCAGCTAAGCCCACCAGGGGGCGGGCTGGCTGGCATGTGGTGCTGGGGATTGAACCGCGGTCCCTGTGCTTTGCCAAGCTAGTTCTAAGTATGTGCGTTAGACCACTGAGCCATCTCACCAGCCCCCCATGATGATATTTTAT